CAATTCACCATTTACTGAGCACAGACTGTGGCCTGGACACTGAGCTATGTGGCAGGGTGCAAAGACAGGCAAGGCAGGTCCTACAAAGTTGTACTTGGTTAAGACCTTCCATATGTAGGGAACACTTTATTCAGAAAATGGGATTAGGGTAGAGAAAACAATGACTAAAAAAAATTGCTGCAAGAAAGCTCAGTAAGGCTAATGACAAGTAAGAAGAATAAAAGGAAAGAGAAAAAGATTGAGGAAGAACAGGACAAAAATTCAAGGTAGGAAATATGCCACATGATCATCAGAACTTTGTAAAGAAATGTTTGGTCTTTGTTTAAAAAAAAAAAAAAGGTGGGGGAGGGGATTGCCTGGATGGCTCAGTCGGCATCTCAGGATCCTGAGTTCAAGCCTAAAACACAAAACACAAAACACAAAAAAACCCCCAAGAAACCAAATGGCAGGCAGCACCTGGATCACACAAATATAAAGTCCCCAGGACTGAATGTGCTGAATTCATTAATTCCTTCACGGAATCACTGGGCCTCTGGAAACAGAAGGTTTAGGTTTTCATAATGCCTGCACAGTGTGTCCTCACTTCCCGTGTGGTGGCAGCCTGTCTTGGGTAGTGTCCAAATGAGGAATCTAGTCTGATATAAACAGTGGCATCACGACAGAGAGGGATACAGGTCATCAGGATTCATTTAAGTGCAAAGCCCCGGCCTCCTCTCAAGTCTTTCAAAGACCGCCATGTGAGAAGTTGATAGGTCCTTGCGTCTCAGGGCTCACAGAGGGTGCTTCATAGACAAGGCCACCACGGTTGGGTGAACTCTGTCTCCAGCTCTGTACTCCGCCTGATAGTCCAGTTTCCAGCAAGTATGACTGCAGTGCCCCCTCACAGACCTCAGTTTCCCTTCCCTGGGGCCTCCCCTTGGCACGTCCCTCTCCTCGCTCTTCCCCTCTTCCCTTAGATAAACCTCACTCCCAGCCGCCATCTCTGCTAGAAGCCTTCCTCCACTGGCCTTCAGCCTCGAGGTGATTCAGGTGACCCAAGTCCTGCCTTTTGGGAGGAGACGCTGACAGAATCTTTGAGGATACTGTTATGTTGGATTGAAAGCCTGAGGAGGATGCTGCAGGAAATGAGGATGTTTCCCCTCTAGGATCCAAGTGTTCCTCACATCAAACCTCCAGAAGGAACAGTGAGAAGCGTCAGCCAGGCACGTTCCTGACAAGGGACAGCCTCGCCTTCCCCACATTCGAGGCTGGGAACTGCAGACAACCAGGGCTCACACCCCAGAAGGTTTTCCTGATATTTATCAGTTTGTTCCCTTCTTTAATTCTGTCCTGCACTTCCTCAGGGTTTCTCTGAGGAATGTTAATGACAGACTTTCTGACTAGAACTTATTTGCTAAAACATCATGCGGGGACAGAAGGGAGGGATCACAGGCCATGGGACACCCTTGGGGAGAAATTCTGATGAAGCAAAGCAGGTTTCCTTTGTTAGGGAAATCTCCTGGTGTTGGTTTGGACACTTCGAGCCAGAAACTAGTACTGCCCAATGAATCACAACAGAAAAAAGCTAACAGGCTACACTGCCACTTAAAAATTGTCTAGTGGAGAAGTCTGCCCTTTGTAAACTCCAAAATTCTAGGCCGAGCAGAAGATTACATCCTGCAGTGCTGTGTAAGGCAAAGAACTGACCGCACACGAGCCCCTAAGGAGAAGTAGGCTTTTTTTTTTTCTTTTTAACTTTTTATTTTAATTCCAGTATAGTTAACACACAGGGTAATATTAGTTTCAGGTGTACAATATAGTGATTCAATAATACATCACCCGGTGCTCATCACAAGTGAACTCCTTCATCCCCATCACCTATTCTGCCCATCTCCCCACCCCCTCCCCTCTGGTGACCATCAGTCTGTTCTTCACAGCTAAGAGCCTGTTCCTTGGTTTGCCTCTCTTTTTTCCCTTTGCTTGTTTGTTTTGCTTCTTAAATTTGACATATGAGTGAAATCATACGACATTTGTCTTTCTTGGACTTATTTTGTTCAGCATAATAGCTTCTAGCTCCATCCATGTTTTTGCAAATGACAAGATTTCATTCTTTTTTTTTATGGCTGAATAATATTCCATTGTATTCAAAGGTAGGCTTTTTAAAATTTGCCTCCTAACTTGGCACCAGAATTTCTCAATGCTAGTGAAATGTCTTTTATACAATACCTAAGATTAGCTACATGTTGTTTCTAAAAAAGTCCACAGTTGCTATAGCTGAATTGACAGAATGTCTAGCATTTCAGTTATATTCTCCCTGCTTGCACTTACTTTTCAAAGCAAAACACAAAAATCCCAAATAACAAAAACCTTGTAATATTCCCAACAAAGGACTTCCAGATGCTTTAGGCCCAAGCACCCACTCTGAGCTTCACGCTTGTCAAGGAGGGGAGGCAGCCTCTCCTACAAGCTCAGGGCCCACTGGGCTGTGTGCTCACACTCAAAAAAGCTACCACAGGAGTCTTGGATATGTTGGATATGCTCCTAAAAGCACAAAGCAACTCCTTCACTTTCTCTAAGGCCACATGTCTTTAGGCCACAGACTTTAAAGCCACTGTTTTTACCCCTCTGGTCATAGAATTTTCAAAAATAAACCCTCCCAAATCTGCCCAAACCCATGATCGATGTTCCTGAATGATGCACAATATACCTACATACACATAAGCTTGAGTACATCCTCTCAAGGTCCCCTGAAGAACAAATTGCTGGAAAAGGGTATGACGTAGGGAGAGACAGTCTCATCCCTTTGCACCAGAAATATATACTCCCCATCTATGCGGTGACGGCAGGTAGGATTTTCCCCGTGAAGTTTCTAGAAGCACCAACCCTTGGACAGAAGAAAACTTGTAATGAACTCCACAGGAGGGTTGTTTACATCTATTTCATAGACCATCAACACCAGTAACATCTGATATTTTCATTGGGACCAAATGAATGCTAAGCAAGTCGTAATTAACTATTTCCATATTCTAATTAGCATCTTCACACTTAAAATCACACCTACATCCTGGGCCTCAGGCAAGTCGGTTCACGTGTCTGAGCCTTTACTTTCTGGTTGCATTTCAAATGGTACCAAGACATCTTTCCAGAGTCTCCTAGGGCCCATCTCTTGGTGAGCATTAACTAGTGTCTGCCACAGGTCAGGCGATGGAAAGCCTGTAGGCAGGACACAAGAAATAGGAGGCTGGGCCGGCGCATTCCCTTAAATGCAAAAACCAAAGCAATTAGGCACAGTCAAATCCCAGCCAGAAAAAACAGACATCAAAAAGAGGTAATTTCTTCAATATTCTGCCTGCTGAAGGGTTTTCAAGCAGGCCTAATTTCAAAAGCGATTACAATTTAAAGGAAAAATTCCATGCCACCTGAGAAAGAAAACAAATACACAAGGCACCAAGTTTTTCGAATTAAAATTTCTATCCTTATATTAGTGCTGGCATGGAGGGTCCCCATTTCACTAAATCTAAGACACCAATGCCTATAAACCTGCATGATTAGGTTACACATCCCAGAAACAAGACAAGAGCTCCCAATTAAACTATGGCTTGCCAGAAGCTGTAAAATGCACCCCAACACCCAGGTCCTTATATTTTGGGAAAAAAATGGCATGTCTGAAGGATAAAATATGGTATTATTAACACTGTTGTAAAGAGAGGAAGAGTAACAGGTCAAACAGCTCCTGTGAGTATAGATCCAAAGCGTGAAGTCCATTTGTATTGTAAATACTGCCCACTGAGGTTATGAAGTGAAATATACACCAGCCGACATGGTATATTACTATGTTTTGAGTAGCAATTTCCTACATTGTGTCCCCAAACTACATATGGTATATGCTGCCATTTTTGTGATAATCTAAGACATCTGAATATAAATTCAAGAAATAGAAAGACAAGCTACTCTTTCAAGCTACCAGAACAGATGCACAGATCTTCCACAGAGGACCAATCTCAGCTGCTTTATGCCTTACAAATACCAAATTCCCCACCATCGTGGCTCATAGTAAGCCAGCAAACCTAACAGGTTACTCTTGGTTAAAGAAAGCATCCATCCTAGAAGACAGAGAGTTCAATATTCCTGTTCTTAGAAACATTTTTAAACGATAAATGAGGAATCACTAATATTAAAGTCACAGGCAACTGGTAAACAAGATAAAAAGTAAGATCTAGCATCAGCAAAGTTATCAGAATATAACACAAGTCTCGGGAAAACAGTTCAGGTCAGATTACTTTGCTCAAGCCTATTTCCACATAAGGGACCAATGACATTTCTGTCTTTGAGGGGGGGGGGGTCCCTATCTTCGGGAGGTTACTAAGAGTTGATTATTTCCCCAATCAAGATAATTTCCATTTTTCAACAACATTTTAGGGCAAGGTGCCCATTTAGTCTTAGATTCAGCAACTACATACATTGAATACTAAATTTTCTTTGTTTAGATAGCTTCTTATAACACTCATATTGTTTCTGATCAGGCTACGGCATTAAAAAGCTAACCTCACAGAGCCTACCCATGAAAACTGACGATGGCAGCCTTTCAGGAGTTTTCAAATTAGGCCTGACCACATGGTTAGAATCCTTCAAAGTCAGCATTGCTACTTAGAATACAGAGCCTTCATCATGTTTAACAAGAAAGCAACATGAAAAAAGAAATCGACCACAAAACCTACACCAATATCTCTTCCATAATAGAAGACTGCCCCAAAATTTCAAACCAAATCCTTAAAAATAAAAAAAATCGTGAAAGCTTCACAACGTTTCCTTTTAAACTAGATTTCTCTAAAGCTTAATAGCATCCTTCAGAAGCAGACAAATAGGCCCAAGAGACAAAGGGAATTTTTCCATTTAATGTTAGGTTATAATAATGTCATATATGCTTGAACCATCTATGATGAAAGGACTTTAGAGAAAGTGCCCCAGGAGGCGGTGTCCTTAAAGACCCAGCCTCAGTCTAGCACTGCTGTAAATCTTACCTTCTGCGTGTTTGGCTTGATACAGCGAACAAAGAAAGGATTAGAGGAGCTTAGCGTTGCCATTAAGGAATGCAGTGAGTCCTATTAGAAAGGAAAAAGTATATGTTGATTTAGTCTCTTACTATGCCATTCTTTAGATTTCTCAGCATTCTAGGCACTGATCAGAAACAGGAATAAAAACCAATATAAATCATAGGACTAATAGTTTTTACTTTTAACGTTGTCATTCTAATATAAAATAAAGCCAAGACACTACAATTCGTAGTCACTGAAATTATTTCACAGTATACAAAGCTCATTTGTCACTTCTTTGAAATAGTATCATTAAAAACAAAAACACCCTGTTAACCGGCAAAGAAGCAACCCCAGGCTATTTCGATGTTGCGTACAAAAACCCTGTCCTCTCCCCCTTGGAGTTTTTTTCTCCTAATTCATTATTTCCATCAAAATGAGTCTCTACCAGTATTCCACAATCTCTCAACTCTTACCCTCAAATCACCAGGCAGATCAATCTTCTGTAATACTTTTTTTTTTAAGATTTTTTGTTGTGGTGGTTGTGAAGAATTTTTAACATTTCCCAAAGCAGACAGAGTGTGTAATGAGCACTCATCACCAGCTTCAGCTCATGGCTAATCTCATTTCATCTGATCCCTGTCTGCGTACATACTATGCCCACCCTTCATAGGAAAGCAAATCCCAGACAGCGTATTAGTTCATCCCTCAAGATTTCAGTGTGTTATTAAAGGCTACACACTTTCAAACATGTATGCCATCACCAGATCATCATCCTAAAAAGCTTTAATAGGAATTCCTTAATACCAATATTAAAAGCAACTGTCTCAAATTTCATATTACATCTTCAAATGTCTCAAATTTCATAATTTTTAAATGGTCCAGTTGGTTAAGCGTCCGACCCTTGGTTTCAGCTCAGGTCACGATCTCAGGGTCGTGAGATGGAGCCCTGTGTGAGGCTCCACGCTCAGTGCAGAGTCTGCTTGAGTCGCCCTTTCCCCCTCCCCCCGCCAAATAAATAAATAAATCTTAAAAAAAAAAAAAAGGTCTGTTTTTTGAAATCAGAATGTAAATGAAGTTCTCGTATTGCAGTTGACGGGTCTTTAAGTCTCTTTAAAACCGCTGGTTTTCCCTCCATTTCTGGCTCCTTTTTCTTCTTACAATCTTGCTGAAGAAACTGGGTTGTCTAGGGCACTGCACTGATGAGTTACTTCTCTGCTTCGAAAGCTTTAGGATTTCTCACAGATGACAAAATGGCCTGGTACACATGGCCCTTCATATCTTCTGGTACCAGTTTAACTCCATACAAGGCATCCTGTCAGCTGGCCCCCTCTACCCACACTCTTACAGGAACAGAATCCAAAACTCCTATCTCAGGACTCCTTTCTCCTGTCTGGTCTCTTGACCTGGAAGGCCTGCCCACTCTCTGCCATTTCCTTGATTCCTAGTGCAATTTAACCCCCAAATACCCACAAAGCCTTCCAAGGCAATTCCAGGCAACACCGCCCTAGAAAAAGGAAATGTAACAACTCCACCGAAAGACTAAGAGTCTAGGTTTTAGAGTCAGACAGGGTCACTTCAAATCTTAGTTTCAGTTCTTAGAGGGACTGAAGGGGTCTCTATCTCTCTACACCTCAGTTTCCTCATCTGTAAAATGGGGACCACCGTACATACTTACAAGGTCATGGAAGAAATGAACAAGATAGCGTGCATGAAGTGATTAGCCCAATGACTGGCACATAATACATACACAATAAGTGGCAGCTATTTTTATTATAACACCTGGGTCAAACCTGCCCATCCTATCACACAATCCAGCACCATCAGCAACGCTGGTGTGTCCCTGGCTCATCACCAGCTGCCCTGTACAACAGACCTCACACAGAACCCCACCGGATGCATCCTGCTCTGAGTAACTAAATGAAAGACAGACTCTTTGAAGGCAGATTTAATAAATGTCTACTGACTGACATGCCTCCACTTCTCTTCATATTAGGATCTGTTACTTGCGGGTAAAATGGAACAATTAAGTTGGGAAAATAGTCTTCATATGCTCTACCTCTAAACTTTTTTTTTTTTTTAATATTTTCTTTTTTTTTTTAAAGATTTTTTATTTTATTTATTTGAGAGAGAGAATGAGATAGAGAGAGCACATGAGAGGGGGGAGGGTCAGAGGGAGAAGCGGACCCCCTGCTGAGCAAGGAGCCCGATATGGGACTCGATCCCGGGACTCCAGGATCATGACCTGAGCCGAAGGCAGTCGCTTAACCAACTGAGCCACCCAGGCGCCCTCTAAACTTTCTAAAATGGCCAAATATTTAAAATGCAAATAAGAATGGTCCTTATTTTCCCTGAATTCTGGGTATCTGGACAAGGTAACTGACATTGACCTTATTCAAATATGCACTTACTTGGTCATTATTCCTAGTTATGATACTGTCAACGTATCTGGGAAAAATACAAAAATCCACACGTGGAAAGAAATATACTCTATATTCATATGAGCCTCTAAATACAAATCAAAGTGATCCCACATGGCCAAACGGTCCTTCAACTTAGAATATGTAGCTATTTATTTCTAACAAGACAAAAAAAAACACCTACATGTTTTCATCTGACTCAGAAAAAGTATATTTTATTTCGAAAGCACTGTCTGGTGCCATAAAAGAGAAAAAACCAAATACTTTTATGGACCTCACATCCCCCCAATTTCTGCTTTCAATTCCTAAAATCACAGCAACGGTGGACTCATGAAAGTCAGCAGGGCAGACTAACCTTGAACTGTGAGCTGACTGTGGGCCGTCGATGTTTGCTTCCACATTTCAAGGTATCCTGGTTATTGCGGCTTGAAACGTGTTCAAACAGGTCATAGATGAAGTCGAATCTGTGTGAGCAGAAAGCAGGAGGGCCGTGAGGGGCCCAATTATTAGGTGCTGGATTACTGTAATTACCATGCCTGTTTCCCACTGATAGTGACCCACGAAGTCCAGGAAGAACTAGGACAGCTTCCAAAGATTTCAAAGCACCCATTGCCAAAGAGCTTTAGGCACTGAAAAAAAAAATTGTGGCCCCCTTCTTCGCACTAGGATCTTGCAGAAGAGAAGCAGACTAGGATGAAAGTGACCCAGGGTGACATGCCACAGAGGAGCGCTGTGTTTCCAGAGGGCCACCTAAATTCCTTGCAGCCTTGATGTCTTTGCCTGGGGAAAGGAGACGGTTTTGCCCATCTCACAGTGTTTCGCAGATCCACCCAGTTAACAGAGGGAAAGCTGCTCATCTGCAGTGAAGTACACTGGGGTTTCAATCCTGCCTCCATCCCTTCCAAGCCACATGACTTGGGCAGATGCTGGACTTAGGCTCATTTTTCATTTGAAAAATGAAGGTAATTTTAGAATTTATGTTACTGCTAAAAAATTCTATAAAATCGCCACTACTAATAAAAAGTAAAAGTCTTCTCAACAACTTCCTATCTTTCTTGCATGGAAGATGCTACAGCCATGGGCTGTGACGTGGGGGGCGGGTGGCTTCCCTGAGAGCAGGGAAGGCCTGGAGGACATCCGAGCATCCACCCCTCTGAAGACGGCACTGTCAAGGCTGTCCCCCACTTCTCACTCTGCCCCCATCCCTTTTTCACTTTTGTTCCAGCGTGCTATTTCGTGCTCACCCTTTGAGGTTCTCTAACTGTGCTTTGAGCACTTTGGAGAAAAGCTCGGGTTCTGTTAAAATGTCATAAGTGTCAAAGGTGAAAGAGAGCAGAGGCAGCCCCTCACAGTTTTGTAGAGAGAAACTTGGACTGGAACAGAAACTTCTTTACTCCAGTCACAAAACCCCTTTACGTGAAGGCAGAGGCGACCAGCCAAACACCACCCTGCTGACCTCCACACCTGTGATCTTCCCACAGCCAAAGGCTTCTATTTAACATCAAGGTCATTTTTAAATGTATCATTTAAAATCTAACAACTAAGAAATTGCTTCGATAGATAACATGTTATGGTATTTTTCAAACATCACCACTCTTATTTTTTAACCTTTTTTTTTTTTTTTAAAATAAACTCTGCTCCCAACGTAGGGCTTGAACTCAGGACCCCGAGATCAAGAGGCACATGCTCTACTGACTGAGCCCGCCAGGTGCCCCTGAATATTGCCATTTTTTTTTTTTAAAGATTTTATTTATTTATTTGAGAGAGAGAGAATGAGAGAGAGCACATGAGAGGGGGGAGGGTCAGAGGGAGAAGCAGACCCCCTGCCGAGCAGGGAGCCCGATGCAGGACTGGATCCAGGAACTCCAGGATCGTGACCTGAGCCGAAGGCAGTCGCCCAACCAACTGAGCCACCCAGGCGCCCAGAATATTGCCATTTTTATAGACCCAAAAACTCATCTAAAAATAAGAACAGCTGACAGTGCTGTAAACGGGTAATCTTCCCACAGGAAAGTTAAAACAGATCTAAGTATCTTCCAGGTCTAAGCTCCTAAACTGACATTGTAGGTGGGTTTCCTTCACCCCAATTCACAGCGGTCTGTGTGACCAGGTGACCACCGACATTTACATTCCTAAAAGTATTAGGGTTTTTAATAATGGTGCTACTTTCCTTCCTCGGATAATAAAAATTTGTTTCTGTAAAGAGATTCATGCTGGATCTGAAACAAGTATCGAAAGCTTCACCCCAAGGATTATTTCTTGCCCTTTCTCCCACACACAGCCTCCTGCTTTAAAACACACAAACGGCTGGACTAACCAGCTACTGATGTAATGGTGTGAATTTACAATTCATGAATGAATAAATGAAGGTGTAAGTTTGTCATCTTAGCTGAGTTAATACTTGTTTATTTTTTCTGACATCCCTTAAACTAGAGACAGATGGGGTCCTACAGATCCAAGGCTGAAACCAATTTAACACATAGCTAGCTCTAAGCTTGTTGTGAAGAAAGGAGGTCATCCTGGTTATGAGCTTAGGTTCTGGAGCCAAGCAGAGCAAATCAGAACTAGCTGTGGGTTCTTGGGCAAGGCACTTCACTGCTCCAAGAATCAATCTGTTCATCTGCATCCCAGCATTAATAGTCTCTAACTCATGGGTATGCTGTTCTCAGGGTACCTCATTAAATGGGAGTCACTGTTACTTGTACTACTTTCTATATCTCGGTCATTTTATTAATGAAATATTGCCCATGAAAGGAGGTAATAAATCAAGTTGCTTCCATATTAATTTTTTCTGTATCTGTAAATTAAAAGAATTGGCACAAGTAATAGTTTGCTTGCTAAGGATGTCTTGGGGAGGAGACTGACATACCGGCTTTCTCTTAGCAAGTTGAGAAGATCATCTCTAAAGGTATCTCTGTTCTTCTCCAAGATGCCCCGGACATCATACTGCACCTGGTTTTTACAAAAAATAATGAGAAATGGTACAATTGATCAAAAGAATAACTTCAGGTCATAAGCATCTCCTTTAAAAGCCAGACCCATGAAGAGAAGTCATTTTGATACATTTATGATTGGCTCCTGAAGTTACTATTTCTCCAAATACCAAATGGGCAAATATCAATAAGGATCTTAATTAGGAAGTTACCTCTCCAGCGTAGTGTTTCACTCCAAAATTGTTGACTGCAACTCTGGGCTTCACGTAAAAGTGGTTATTCTAACAAAGAAACAAATACAAACGCCTAATTTCACTTACTGATTTGCACTGACTTCCCAAAAGAATTAACTACAACAGATCGTGAAAACAATTTGAAAACCCACCGCACTTCAGAGGTTTAGGTCAGAGGGTGTGATACACTTTATCAAAACCACACAGGACTTGTCTGTCATCGCAGAAGTGAGGTTAAATTCTATACTCATCAACTAAATGTGGGCACGTTCTGACGAGTAGCCCCAAATCTATCCCTTTAACTTATTTCAACTTAGTTCTAGCATCTGGAGAAGACAGCTTTGCTTTGAGAAAAAAAATTACATGTGGGAAGCACAGCAGAGCCAACAGCACTGAAATATCTTATGTGTAATCTTAATCCACAGATCTGCTACTCAGACATAATTAAGAGTTGGCAGGTTTTGACATACAGCGTGTTGACTGTGTAACTTCTCCAGTAAGGTGCTGTCTGTGGCTTGAGGAAAATGGCTTTCTTCATTGATAAGGGCGAGGAGACCAAGTTTCTAGAAGAGAGAAGTTAAATGAATTAAAAGTTGAATGCCTCAAAATATTTCAGAGCTTCCTTCCCCCCTCTCAAGTATTTGTTAAAGGAAAAGGCCCAGCAATTTCTTGGTTTAAAAAAAATTCAGAATGCGGGCGCCTGGGTGGCTCAGTCGTTAAGCGTCTGCCTTCGGCTCAGGTCGTGATCCCAGGGTCCTGGGATCGAGTCCCACATCGGGCTCCCTGCTCGGCGGGAAGCCTGCCTCTCCCTCTCCCACTCCCCCTGCTTGTGTTCCTGCTCTCGCTCTCTCTCTCTCTGTCAAATAAATAAATAAAATCTTTAAAAAAAAAAAAATTCAGAATGATTCTGTGAAGACATCCCATGAATTGAAGTGTCACAGAAACATGGAAAAATGGAACCGACCACAATTTTGTGGAGGACAGTACAAGTGGCCAGTCTACTACCGGTGGTGGCAAAGTTTTTGATGCTGACAAAGTCGAAGTGAAGCTGATTCACATACTGTTGATTCTGAAATATGTGGAGTTCAATGAGACAATAGGCTTGAACCTGCCAAGTATTTAAATTCAACCCTGCACATTTGCATGTATGTTTCCAAATGGTCCATTGTGTTCTAAACATTCACATCTTTGACGTACATGTTCGCACAAGCTATTTTGTTCCCATAAATATGAATCAGCCCAGCGGGACACCCTTGGGACTGCTACAATGCTTCAACAATGTTACCTTCTCAATCAGGTCCAAGCATTCACCATTGTCTATCCAGTCAATGTCTTCCCACACCAATCCCTCCCTGTAGCAAGATTTAAAAGGGCTAGGTTATAATAAAATAGAGCTTTAAAGCTATCTAATTAAGCGGCTGATTTAAAAAAAAAATTTTTTTTTTGAAGTGGAATCCTATGAGTGCTTACCTGCTATATTCTAGTTGTTCCAGAGAAAAAATATGTTTGTTGAAATATTCCTGAAGTTTCTCATTTGCATAGTTTATATTGAACTGCTCGAAGTGATTAACCTAAGGGGGGTGGGAAACCATTCAACAACTATCTTCAGTGCCCTTACTATTACATATACAGGTAAAGAAAAGGAAAAATAAATCTGCGGAGAAACATATCAATATTTATTTGAAAAGATTAGTTTACGATCAGTCAATAAGTGGATAGAAAAGAATTCATGCGTCCCACTCGTCAGAAGCATACCTCAAAGTTTTCGAATCCAAAGATGTCAAGAATGCCAATGGATTTAAAGTCATCTTTGCCTTTGATCCTGCTGTTAATCTTCTTAATCACCCACTCGAAGCAGCGTGCGTAAAGTGCCATGGCCAAGGAGTCTCTGCTGTCTTCGGCCTGGGGGAGAGGAAACACGGTGACCGTCTCCGCTGACCCCGGACAGCCTGGGCAGGCAAGACCATCCCTGCCCCCTCGAAGACACACGCACTGAACAGGAGTAACACCTGTGCACCCAATACCAAGTAAATTAGTACCATCTAGGAAAACACAGGTGTCTAAAGAAAGGGTGAACTGGAACTCACTCACTCTACAGTAGGATTCACTAGGACGCCCTTTACACAGCAGGCTTTCAAACTCAAGTTTTTATGTTGAGTTACAGGAAAAAATCTGAACCAACATATATAGAGCTACAAATTTTATCAGGTTTAAGACAACAATTAAGGCCTGAGTTTTCTCATGATCATCTTCTCATAATCTACTTTTAAAAAAATTTTTAAGATTTTTATTTATTTGAGAGCGAGAGAGAGAGAGAGAGAGAGAGCATGAGCGGGGTGAGGGGCAGAGGGAGAAGCAGACTCCCCACTGAGCAGAGAGCCCGATGTGGGGCTCGATCCCAGGACTCTGGGATCATGATCTGAGCTGAAGGTAGACACTTAACCAACTGAGCCACCCGGGCACCCCTCATAATCTACTTTGAACACAGAAAAATTTTCTTCATGGTACGTACGATTAGCATTTTTACTTACCCCATCAAGAAACTGATATTAGATGGGCTGGCACATATAATTGGCTCAAGACAGTAGCAGAAGCAAAACTAAGTACTACTACATAAATAATAACAATAAATTACAATAGCTCATGCTTATTTATCACTTAAGTAACTGGCATATATTTATTATTATCCTTACAAGAATTCTATGAATTAAGTATGATAATTATCCCTGTCTTACAGAGAAGGAAACAGACGTAATGAATGCATTCCCCAAAAACGGAAAGTAGTATGTCAGGACTTGAACTCAGGAAATCTCCATCAGACCCAGTCCTCTTAGACACTCGGCTGCACTACCACTAAGAAAACGAACAACTTTGTCTCTTCCCCTCAGCAGGGCTATCTTCTTTATTTTGCTCATTTGAATGGTTCGTTGTAGTCACTTATTTGAATCAAAGCTGTGAATGTGAAACCCCAGGAGTGTCTTTTAAAACAAGCTTTGATGGCGAAGGCACGTACCTGTTGAACAGTGAGAGGTGTGAGGATCTCTTCCCCCCTGAGGAACATGGATCTCTGCGTCAGAGCATCCGTGAGCTGTGCGGAGTCCAGCCCAAGTAGCTCGGCAGACCTGCCCAAGGCTGGAAATGGAGAACAAGGGGAAAGTGGATGCACTGAGCCAAGAAGGAACGGGCCACGGGACTCCAAAGCTAACTCCACAAGGCGATACATTACAGCAGAGAACATTCCTCAATCCCTCAGGTAGAATTTACAGAACACACTTTCTACTGGTAAGTTGTTCACTCCCTCAATGGGTCTCAGGCTAATAGCAGAGAACCTGGCGCTTGGACCAAGTGTGGTCCTGAGACCCCGAGGCAGGGACTAACCAAGACCTGCCAGAGGCTTGCAAGGTCCTAACTATTTTCTGTGATATTAAGATGTCCTTTGCTGTTTTACTCTCATTCCCTTACCATGGTACAGAGGAGTTTTCTAGTGGCTACATGACATGAGGTATCTCAACAAACTGAATGCAGAAGCAGATAAGAGAATCTAGCTGTCCTCCATGACATCAGATGCTTTAAAAGTTTGCAAAAATGTAAGACAGTGTCACTCCATTTTTAAGATTTTATTTATTTGAGAGAGAGAGAAAGAGAGAGAGCACAAGCAGGCGGGCAGGGGGCCAGGGGGAGCGGCAGGCAGAGGGAGAAGCAGGCTCCCCGCTGAGCAGGGAGCTCGACGCCGGGCTTGATCCCAGGACCCTGGGGCTCATGACCTGAACCGACTGAGCCACCCAGGTGCCCCACAATGCCATTCTTCTCACGGATTTTCTTTTGTTTTGGAAAACAGTCTTTTAAATAAAAATACGATTATTTCTTTTAATAGGAAATGGGTTTTTTACAGTTATTTCAAAATTAATTAGTTTTTTACAACACCTCAGTTAATTTCCAAGGCAGTAACATGAACAGACATGACCCACATAAACAATAGCTCTTTGGAGTTCTCTATGGATTCAAGATGATTCAGAGGCGCTGGGACAACATGTTTGAGAACCACTGACCTACAGCGCTGTCCTCGCCTATAGCCCTTTCAACCTTTAGCGCATCCAATCCCCAAGGCTTCGTGCCCTACACGCTGCTTCCATCGGGAAAGTTCCAGAAGTAAATACAGAAATCACTTCAGGAAAAGTGTATATATGATTAGCATTTTCACTTACCCAGTCAAGAACAACTGGAAAAGGACAATTGATATAGTGATGTGCGTATTAATTTTTAATCTTGACAACACGTCAGCAAAGCACTTTATAGATAAGACATCACTAGAGTTGGGGGATACGTAACTCAAGGAAACAGGCTGTGGCAGAGCTGAACAGTGAACAGCATTTCCACCCGAGAATGAACGGTCTTCCCAGGACACCACGTCACCACTCACAAACTATGCAAAAGAAAGGAACACCACACCCCTGACCCCTATCATTCTTCTACATCTAATCCTCGTTGCTCGTATTTCTTTACTGGGTCCATTTTCCTCTGTCCTTGCTAAGAATGAGAACACAGCCACCATCCCCTCCAAAAATCACTCCTCTTAGGCTTGGACCCTTTCTTAGCTGACAGTTCCCATCAAATACAAAGTTCTGCAAGTCTCTGTCCAGGGTCAGAAAGCTCTTTCTGTAAAAGGCCAGACAGTAAATATTTTAGGTCTAAGTTCCCTATGAGGAAAAAGCCAAGGGAGGGAAGGAGGGAGGAGGCATCCTACCCGTTTTGAAGGACACTTGGGCCCCACCAGCAGTGATAAATTCTATGTTCCCAAGATGTAACACACCAGCAAGCAACCTCAAAACCTCCCAAACTTCTTCTTTGCTGAACTGCATCACTTCCATCGCCGTCTGAAAGAAAATCAATGTATTTAAGTTTTTGTTGTTTTTCTTCCATAGTAAAGAAAATGAAAAACCCATTACTCAGTAAAATTGTTAGGTATTGTTCTAAAGGCAAGAAAACAAGAAACAGATTCATGACCCCTCACTTTTAAATGATAAAGCCTTTGCACAGGCACTCATAAAAGAATGTGATATTACAGAAGAACTGTACAATGTGGAGAGATCACCCAATCGATGACATAAAATGAGATATCTGCCTTATTAGGTACAAGTCTGCCAGTGACACCACAGAAGAATTACCTAAGAGAGTCACAGTAATGATGGTGAAAAAGAAATGCTTTTTCTGTAGATACTGAAGCAAAATGGAATATTTATTTTCTTGCACATAAGTTGGTGGGGAAGGGGAAGGCTGCATGGGACTGCTCCAGTATAAATTTCAGGGCTTTTCCTTAATGGCTAAATGCAGCAGGAACCCAAGTCAGAGGAATAAAATTCTCTATTAGGAACTCTGTAGATAGGAGAGTCTCTGCTCCTTTTATAATAGATACTGATGGATTAGATGAATGGATTCAGATCAGTCTTCCCTAGACATTCATCACATCTCTTTTTAATTTCTCCAAAGAACTTTTAAAGATCTTGTCTTGGCCCCTCCATAGGAAATGGAAGTTAACATAATGCTGTTTGGGGGAAAATAAAAATAAACAGTCCCCTACAGGAGAGGAGGTTTGTTCCCAAATACAAGTATCTAAACAACTGAAGTCAGGTATCGTCTGAATCACATCGAAGATCTGCTCATTTTCTATTGTGATTGATTGACTGATTTCAGAGATGGGGGTGCAGGGGGGAGAGGGAAAGAGAGAATCTTAAGCAGGCTCCGCACCTAACGTGGAACCTGACACGGGGCTGGATCTCAGGACGCTGAGATCATGACCTGAGCAGAAATCAAGAGCTGGACACTTAATGCTTAACCAACTCGAGCCACCCAGGTGCCCCTCTATTATGATTTAGAAGCCATACCCTTGTCAAGAAAAAAGCACCCCGCTCCCCCAACTGAGGACAGAATTGTTGGCAATACTGATGAAAATGACCTACCAAGAGCACGTGGGCCCACAATGCAATAATCGTGACAATGACAATCACTTCAGGGGATTAGGAAGGAAACTGGGCACCACTGTGAAGCAGTAGAAATTGTAAAAGGAAACAACTGGAGATTTAAAATGTGAAAAGTTTTAACTTCTTTACAAGGAAAAAACAAAGTTGAAACAAAAGGCAAAAACAATAGGCAGGACAACAATTTAAAAATTATAAGGGAAGGAGCAACAGCTTAGCCATAATAAAAGAGATATGAACAACAAAAATAAAATAGGCATTTCTTATGGGAGCATATGCAAATCTTTCCTAGAAATCAAACATGTACTAATCAAAGAAAATCTGAGATTGTTTCTATTAAATTAGCAAAAAACTTGTGACTGATAAACCTAAAATTGGTGAAACTGGGACATTTAGGCACTGATCATTGGTGCCATACGTTAATATGATCTTTTTGGAAAACAAGATTATATGGCCGCAAATGTACATAAACTTATAATGTTCAGAGAGGTTCAATAACTTTCACAGGGTTGCACAACCAATATTCAAAGTCAGGCCCAATGAACCCAAAGTCCACAAACTTATTATCCAGCCGATGTTATTACTTTCTAAAGACATAAAAAGAAAAAAGCAATCTCTTATATAATCTTCCATAACTTCCATGCTGGAAATTAATTCCAAGGAAAATCTCAACAGAAAAAGGAAGTTCTATAAAATATTCACTGGAGCGTTATATTAACACGTCAAGAAAAAAATTCTAACTATCCTATAATCAGACAAGTCAAATACAGCAATAGTTGAGAACAGTTCAATAGTTTAGAATAGTGTGTACTTTTTAAAGGAAATTATGATCATCCAGAAACATGATTTATGATAGCTTTATGTAAAAAGTTTAAAATTATATTTTTGTGGGGTGCCTGGCTGGTCGCTAAAGCATGGGACTCTTAATCTTGGGGTGATGAGTTCAAGCCCCATGGTGGGTATAGAAATTACTTAAAAAAAATAAAACCACATTATCAGTAAATTTTTTAAAAATTATATTTTTGCAACTTTTTTTTTTTAAAGTAATCTCTACACTCAATGTGGGACTCGAACTTAACAACCTCAAGATCAACAGTCAGATGCTCTACCAAATGAGCCAGCCAAGTACCCCGTAAAGAAAACCACGCTGGGAAGTAAATATACTGTATTGAAAATAGTTGCAATGTTAGTGTTGGTAAACTCATAAACATTATGTTCCATCATGTCTTTTAATGTTTTGACAATATTTTTACAATAACAGTACAATATTTTTATAATAACAGTACAATATTTTTACAATATTAATGGGTGAATGGATAAACAAATTGCTGCCTATTCAATGGAATACCACTCACTAGAAAAAGGAATGAACTGTGTTATGTATGATGTAATGAGTAAAAGGAGCTAGACAGGAGAATACCCTCTGTATGATTTCACTTACAAGAACCTCTAGAAGAGACAAATCTACTGATTTACGCCTGAAAACAGATAAGTGGTTTCCCAGAAGTAGGGTGGCTGGGAAGGGCCAAGGAACTTTTGGAGTAAAGAATCATCCTTCAGGGCGCAAACCATGAGAGACTATGGACTCTGAGAAACAAACTGAGGGCTCTAGAGGGGAGGGGGTGGGGGGATGGGTTAGCCTGGTGATGGGTATTAAGGAGGGCACGTACTGCATGGAGCACTGGGTGTTATATGCAAACAATGGATCATGGAACACTACCTCAAAAACTAATGATGTAATGTATGGTGATTAACATAACAATAAAAAATTTAAAAAAAACAATAAACAGAGGCTTTACTAAGAAAAAAAAAGAATCACCCTTTATTTTGATTGTGGTTGTGGGTACATGGGTGAGTAAATTCAAAATCCATTAAAATGTATACTTTAAACGGTAGCGTTTTATTATATGTACACTGCCTTTCAATAAATCTGATTACAAATAATAAAAACACCATGAATTATTTAATCAGGTGTTTAAAGACTCATTTCATTGGTGCAAGCAGAAATTGACACAAAGAATAAGAACTATTAGTCGAGTGCTTATCAATTAAAAAAACCATATGGAAAAATAGTCAAATTTACTTATTCTAAAAGTTAAAAGTAAAGAAAGGTAGTTAATACAGAATAATTTCTTATTCTCAAGACCCTTAAAATAGCAGTAAGGACCAAATCAAACAGCAGAATAATTATAAAGCACCTACACTGTACAAAAGTTAATACTTTCCCTCTCTATGATTAAAGTTTTCCTCCTATAAGGCATATTCAACACTACCTTATAAAAAATTCTTAGGTCATAGAAATGAAATCCTTTACTGTTTAAGTCAACTACCTGGACTTTATAAACACTAAAAGGAAATAAGACCAAAAAAATAAGTTTGCTGTAGCAGAAAATGTCAAGTTATCACATGAAAAATACCAAGAGACGCCCGATGAAAATATTCTTGGCTAAGTTCTTAAAATACATACCGAAGTCATATACGGAGATGGAAAGCAAATAAAACGTGCTTACTGTGTTAATAAATTTGACTACTTTCAATCTAACTCCAAGTGAATTAGGAGCGTGGTGATTAGTAATTGCATTAATCATACTGCGGGGTAATTTAATGGCTGCCCCCAGTTGGCAGCAGCGTGGGCATGCGTGCTGGAACCGCCAGTTAAGAGCCTCTACTTACTGTGCCCTACTGTCCTGTTTACAGTCTCTCCAGTTGCAATCTCCACCCCGCTTCGGCAAGAGTAGCCACTTTAAAGCTTATTATCATTACCTTATTTTCTCAACGATATGGCTGCAAGACTTAAAAAACAGGCTGGGAAATTCTCCGTATAGTTCAGAAGCACTAAACAGCAATTTAGTTATAATAAAACTGGCACAAAGTTAAAATATTTTCAATAAAGTCCTTATTAAGCACATAAAAAAAAATAGGTGTTTGGGAAAGTGAGGGTGGGCAGTGGGGGAAGAAGAGGGATGACAAATATGGGATCTGGTCCCAATCGTGAAGGACCAAAGGAGGCCAGGCTCATGGCACTAGAAAGTAATAGAAAGGAGGGGCAAATTTCAGGTGCTTTACTGCCAGAAGGTACATCTGCTTAGGGTCTCAGGCAGTTGGCTGTGAGGTGTAGAGGTGCCATTTAAGGCAAAGGGACCACAGATGAACAAATGGTGTCACTGAAACAGTGGAAGGGGAGGCTATTCTGGGTATAGTAAATTGCAAGTAAGCAATCTGATAATAATTTATTATGCAATGTGATGATAGGCAATATTCTGTTACTTTATAATATAAAATTTGCTTATGCTGCCAAGTTCACCACCACCGAAAGAGACTGATGTTTCCATGCTTGGCAAAACTGAGGTTTAAAGTCCGCCCTTTAAGTCTTAATAAAATCTGACTCATGTGGAATGAATTTATGCATACATACACAAGGGCTCATACCATTAAAAACCCATGGATATACCCAGTAAGGCTGATAAGGTCCAGAAACCCCAGTCCTGGTCCACAGCCAGGAAGGCTATAAACATTCAACATTTGTGGAGTAAGAGAATCTGAAAAGATTATCACCCAAAGACTCCTGCTACTTAACACACACTTTTTATCAGCCACCATTCTGGTGGGTCAAATGCAGATAAATTAGTTGCTCCTATTGACTTGAAATTTCTAGGGCAACTTGAAAGGCTGCATAAAAACATGGCTATAAAATTTAGCATATATTCACAGAGTCTGCACCAGGAAAAACCAGGTCCTCTAAAGCTGCCCGGGGTACTTAACAGGCACTTATTTATATTAATGTCAAGTGGTGGCAATAATGAACTCGAAAAACACAGAAAGCAAATTCTTAATAAAATAAGCAAAATTCTTAGAAGACATATACAAGAGTATACTGACATTGAAGTTGATAAAAAGACTCATTTTTTCAGCAGCTAAAAATGACATTTGCATACATAATTCACAGAAATAATTTCTATGAACATTTCAACATATTCTGCAAACAAATATCCTTCAGCCTTAATGGAATGTGGTCCCTTCCCTCCCTTTGATCCCAAAACCTCTGGGGAAAGCAGCTTTATGAAACTGAAATATGAAGATACAAATTTAAGTGGTATTTGATTTTGGAGGAAAATACTGAGAGACAAATTACATTAAAAGCAGCTGATTCGATCTTTTTTCCTTCTTCAGCAGAATACCAGGGTTATACGTAGCTTATTTACTGCAATCTCCTTGGTGCCTAGAACAGTGCCTGGCACATAGCAGGTGCTCAAACATGTTGAATATATAAAACCGACTTCAGCCTGAAGAGTTCAGTGTCTCTTTCTCACCATTCCTGTGTCACTCCTGGTTACAGAGTACTGCATAAGGCAGAACAACGGGCTGGCTGGTATCGACAGGATACTTTTGATTGTAGAAGTTGCAATTTTAGGAATGTAATCATAATTATATAATCATTAAAGCCGATATAGTCACTGTAAATATATGATAACACAGAATGATAAAATCCTAGAATTCTGCCTCATGAGATAACATATCTGGTTTATTTTTTGTCCCAGCCTTTTTTCTGCATATAATTACTATATCAATTATCGTAAATTATACATAAAATGTTTTAAATAAAAGGATTATCAATGAGTGTTGCAGCTTATCTTCCTCAATTATAAAATAAGCAAGTTTTCCCATATAATTAAATATATTTGAACATATGTTTTGCTTGCTCTAATGGACCTGATTTTATGGCTTTAACAAATTATTTAAGCTAATCCTCTATTTGTGGTTCTTGCAGGTTAAGGTAAAGGGAGAAAAAAAATGGAGAAAAAATCTTACTTTTTATAGAAAAGAGTGTTTTTCCTCCTTTCTGAAAAGGTGCACATTTTTTCTTTTCTGACTATATTACTTAGAACTTCCAGAAAGTTAAATAATAATAAAAAACTACACGTTCCTGATTTTAATAGATAGCAGCTAGGTTTTCATTGTCATTTCTAATAGGTTGACACCAAAAAGTAATCACAAAGTAAATATTTAAATAATTTAAACTTGTAAGCTTGTTGTCTATATCAATTTCATGTACAAATTTTCTTCCTTTCTCAATGATACCTTTTCAGTGTTAAGATGAGATTTTAAATGCTAAAACCTACTCTTTCAATTTAATAATAAAAGCTAGCAATCAATGAAAGCAGGGCGAGCCCTAAAAGTCTATCTGTAGGCTAGCAAAAGGCACAAACAATTCTGAATCAGAAAATGAAGGCCCAAGAGGAAAGCAGAGGAAAGCCAGCAGAGTAACTTCTCCGGGGCTCTCAGGACAAGGGGAGGACCCGATGCTCAGTGCACTCTAGTGGCCAGGCAAGCTAATGAGTAGAAGACCTGCTGCTTTTTGGACAATTAGGAGTCTGTCTCCTGCCACAAACAACGTCCTTCTATCACAAAGCATTGTTCTCCAGCTTCAAGAAAAAAAAAAAAAAAGGAAAAAAAATCCTGTCCTCCTTTGCCCTTTTCATCAAAAATGAGTTTTCATATTTATTCTAACACACAGTAAAGACAAAGACAATACTAAACGAATTGAGAAGAGAGAAAGTCTGAGTAATAATAGAATTCCAGGGGCAAAATAAAATTGGGAAAGAAAATTTAAAATAGTTAAACATTTCATAAAATCCAACTCTCAAGGCCAATTCTCATGCTGTCCAGGGTACACAGCAAAAGGTGCTGTCAACAGGGGCTTTTTTGTTAACAGTTTCAAGGAAGGATATTTGGCAAGAGAAACCCCTCTGCATTATAAATGACAGAATAAAGGGGAAACAGAGGGGAAGAGGATCATATTATAGCCAATCCTGTCCTTAATTTCAATTTAAGATGTGGAAAATGATGTATGATATATATCCACTTAAAAAAAAAAGACCCTGATTTTATTCCACAAGGCATTTTTACAAACTATCTGCAAGAATAAATGGGGATATTGAATAGAGAACTGTTGACAACTATAAAGAACCTGACTGACAAATCTGGGCTGTACCAGAAGCTGGTACCACCTGCCTGCCTTGTGGGTTAGAGTCTGGGATTTGGAGGTAGACTCTTTCCGCACCGGCTCTACCTAGTACTGTGTGTGGTTAGGCTGGACACCAACCTCTCTGAGTTGCAGAGTGTAGCCAACCAGGGTTCCTACCGTCACAGTGTTGTTAAGCACAATGAGAGAGTTGGCCCATTTGAGCCCATATAACAAGCGCTCAGTATCAGTTGCATTTATGATGATGAATCAACCCTAGATCCACCATATCCAACTGTTATAGTAATGACTCTGGCAAAGGAACGAAGACTGCATTGGCAAAATCTACTGGCCGTTCTCAATCGGATGGGGCTATTAATAAAGCTCGATGACCAGGGTTCCTAAATGTTGTCACCTTATAACAAAGTTCTCGTGATAACAGAAAACTGTAAGAGACCACATGTATTGACACTGCAGAGTTGTGACTACTGTTCTTGTGGTCAGAATTGGTTGTCAGAACCAGGCCAAGAGACTCAGACAAGATCCTAATAGTCACCTGGTCTAATGGTTGACAGATTTGGTTTTAGCTGTAGAAACTGTATGTATGTATAAATAAATAAATAAATAAATAGCTCAAAAAAGAAAGACTGGCATGTTCCAGTGGCAAGCCTATATTTTTTTTAATACAGTTCCAAGTCAACTCCCCATCTGGCCTGAATGCCACAGATATTCCTCCACCTTCTAAAGAAAGAGGATTCTCTTCCAGTCTGGAACATTCTTTATCATGACTTGGAACAAAAAGAAAGTACCTATTTTCAGTACAGCAGTGCAAATGTAATTACTTCTATTTTCATTAAAAAAAATTTTTTGACATTCTTTCCTGCTTTGTTGAAGATTAGTTGACCATAGAGTTGAAGGTCCATTCACAAAAAAAAAAATATTTTTTGAAACAGGAAATGAAATGTCGCTTTTTTTTTTTTAGGGGGTTGTCACTCTTAATAAAGGTAAAATAAGAAAGTAACTTACAATCACTTCCCTAAAGGATTCCTGGTCACTGATTGTCTTGTCTTCTATACATCCAGACTGACTCAAATAGTGATAGTTTTCTGGCACAGATAAATAAAATTCTTCTGCAAAAAGACAAAGAAAATCATAAAATCAGTATTTGGCCAGGATAAGACAGAATCCAAAAGAGTTCTCACTTTGTAACTTAAAAAAAATAAAGTATATAAATAATTCTATGCTAATAGTCTCCTATTAATATAAAAAAAAAAAGATTCTCTCTTAATCATCATTTAGAGAAAATAAAAAGGATTTAATTAGGGCTCAGTAGGTTAAGCCTCCAACTCTTGATTATGCTAAAAAAAAGCTCAATAAATAAAAATAAAAATAAAGGATTTAATTAAACGAGATGGCACGATAGAAAATGTTCTTGAAAAACTGATAAGGATCCTGTTTTATTTTCCTTAAATATCAAATGTTTAGAAATTAGCTTTCTTTGGGTATGGTTTAGAAGTAAACCAGTTACAATATGCATCATACATTTTTTTTTTCATAAATAGCCTATAAATTAGAAAAGTACCAAGATCCCCAAAACAAAAAATTTAACATTTCTCTACTGATGATCTTCCCTCTACATTAGTTGGCTCTAAAATGGACTCAACATCTTTCGGTATTCTCATACCTTTCGTTTCCATTGATGGAATACCAACAAAACCCAAACAGGTGTCTTCCTGACGGCTTTTCAAGGGAAAACCAGTTGCTAATCCATACACTTCTGTGCCAGTGTCCCATTCACTCACCTCTCTGTTCGTGTTGTAGCCCTGCCAGCAGTGCATAGAATATGTGATAATTCCTTTCCCCGGGGTTTTGCCTTACTACTCGGTTCTGTGGGGATAAAGCAGATTTCATCTGAGATGTTTCCTCCATTTAATTAACACAAACCAACAATTGCCGAAAATAATTATTACCGAAGAAAATGTGAATTAAATCATGTTTACTTACTTTTTCTAATAAATCTTCATGTGAAAAGCAATGGCCAGTCAAGGAACAAAACCAGGATATGACATGTTCAATTAGGCTTTAATTTTCTATTCTTTGTCACCCAAATAATTGCAAATCCCTGTTCCTTTGACATTGTGACTTCCAGTGCCAAGAGATGAGCCAACAAAGCATAGACTAGTTCATCTAAATCCAATTTCAAACAGGACACATGGTGTCCTAGGAGGTGCCAAACTATTTGACGAAATTGATCTCAAACAACAGACACTTGATGCTTGATGATGAATCCGATTTTCCAGATTACGAACATGATAGCAGAATTTTCCAAAAGGAAAACGGTTATCTCCCAGGATAGTTAATAGGTCAAACACAGTAATATTAAGCAATAACCGAAATGTTTCACATTGCCTGTCCTTACGATAACCAAGAGCAGATTGTACTTAGAGAGTCAAATACTAAAGACAAGACCGAAATGAAACAGGATACAATCTACAATTCTCCCGCCCTGAATATTTCCCTTCTGGCAGATGTGCAGCTGAACGAACTTCCCGAAGCGACTGGAGTTGTTGTTGTACACGGTCTTGGCATTGCCGAAAGCTTCCATGATGGGGCTGTGGAAGACATGAGGACAACCTCCAGTTATAAAATACCTAAGCCATGAGATGTCAATTTCAGCAGGGGAGATATATCAATAACATTGTAATCACTATGTAGGGTGACAGATGGTCACTAGACTTATTGTGGGGGTCATTTCATAATGTGCAAAAATAGCTCATCCCTATGATGTATACCTGAAGCTAATAGGATACTGTATGTTGTTATACTTCAATAAAAAAATTAATAAAAAAAAAAGTGAGGACAGCAGTGAGTGTTAATTAGGGGAGATCTAAAATCAGCAAGAGCGTTCCTCACGAATGTCAAAATATATAATTGCAAGAAAAATCTGAAATCAAAAGGACCTATGGTGACTATGTTTGTTTACAGAAGGGCCACACTTTCAAAGCGCTTCCTGAAATGGGTTTATAATGCACATCCACTTCGAATGAGAGCTCTTAGGGCTCGGTGGGCAGGCACAGGATGCTGCAGAGTTCAGGCGACCACAGTGGCTTGTCCTTGTGCGAATTAGCCTGGGCTTATATACACAAGCCAGGGATTGCACAGAAAAAGACCCCACTTAAATTTCAGCAACTGAAGAAGTCCCAGTCCTGGGAATTTCACCCGTTTGTTGTCTAGGGCAACTCATTTATAAGTAATGTCTTTGGGTCTTCCCCAACTGTAAGACGGGGTCAGACAAATCAGGGGGTGGCAAAGTTTTCTGCAAAGAACCGGATAATAGAGATTTTAGGCTTTGTGGGCCATGTGTTTTCGGTTACAACCCACTCGGCTCTGCCACTGTAGCTTAAACGCAGCTGTAAACAATATATAAACAAATGAGCGTGTCTGTGTTCCAATAAAACTTTATTTACAAAAACAGGCTGCAGAAAGATGACAAAGTTCTGCAGATGGATGGTTTGCAATGGTGGCACCACAGTGAATGTACTTAATGACACTAAGGTGTACACTGAAAAAAATGCTTAAAATTATAAATTTTATGTTATATATATTTCATGACAATTGAAAAAAGTGTATGAATGCTAAAACAAAACCAGGCTACAGGTTATGGGCATCTGGCTGCAGTCTGCTGACTTCTAGACTAAATTCTAAATAACAAGATCTATAAGGTCTTCACTGGTTCTAAAATCTTATAAGGCGCAAATCCGACATCGGGCCAATACATACTCAAATTAAGAATTCAGATGATACCTCACCACACAGCCCTCTTTCAAAGTTCTGAGGCTCACTGCCATCAGATGTACCACTGATCTTCTGCCACGTGTGAGGCTTTAAAAAAAATGCCATCTTGCCAACATGGTGCCTCCAAAGGGCTGGAAGACCAGCAGAGGCTCCCTCATCTCTGTGCTAAGGTCTCTGTTACACAGTGGCCAGAGGCTGAAATTTCTGCTCATAACAAGGCCTCCGAAAAGTGAGTCAAGGGATCGCTAGTTAGAGGAGGCTGCAGAATATTCCTCGGAATCACTCACTGACCAATTCAAACCTGGCGCAGTAGGGGCCTAGGGTGGGGGGTGGGGTGGGGACCAGGAATGGTCGCTCAGGTTGTTAGAAATTGCTGTGTCCATGTTGGGACTTTTCCTTTGAGGAATTGTAAAAAGAGAAAATAGACCAACTAATTATAACTCGTCCTTAAATGAGCCACCCAGGGAGGACAGTGAATCCTATTCATTGGAAATAAGGAGCATGACAAAGAAATACCTGCTTTCAAGAATAGCTTGTTCAACACAGGATGTCTTCTCCTTCAAGGACAATTCCAAAGACTGCTGACTGATGACTGATAAAAACTTGAGGATCAATTTGGTGCTTTCGGTTTTACCTGCCCCACTTTCACCGCTGAAAAACAAAATGCGCAAGCTTGTTCAAATTAGAAAAAGAAAAGAAAAAGAAAAAAAAAAAAGAAAACAAACCCAGTTTGACCAACATCACTCCATTTTAAAGGTGGGAAAACAGAGGTCGAAATGCCTGTCCCGCGGGTCAAGTCAAAGGGCGCTAAAAGCAAGTTCTCCTTCTCCTTCTCCTTCTCACCCTTTCTGCTATTATGAAAGCCTCTGGGACATCAGAGGTCAACAGAATCACCTTCACTAAGTTGAGAGGATGGACATGCCTTCCATGCGAGGGAAGCCTGGCACAGACAGGGATCTTTGTTTTGTTCGCTAGAGTATCCAGACATCTCCACAGGGCCCGGCTGCTGAGAAGCACTTGGTAAATACTTGTTAAAGGAACGAGCATACTAACAGCATCGTTCTGGGAAACGGAAAGCAGGCAAATAGGCTTAAAAATGCAATTATTCGGGGCACCTGGGTGGCTCAGTCGTTAAGCGTCTGCCTTCGGCTCAGGTCATGATCCCAGGGTCCTGGGATCCAGCCCCGCATCGGGCTCCCTGCTCGGTGGGAGGCCTGCTTCTCTCTCTCCCACTTACCCTGCTTGTGTTCTCTCCCTGTCAAATAAGTAAATAAAATCTTAAAAAAAAAAAAAAATGCAATTATTCGTAAATATGATTGAGGGGACAAGGGAATGACCCCACAGGTCCTCGACCCACCACACGGAAACATTTTATTCCATACTAATCCTCGGAGGGAGGCAGCGACTAAGCCTCCATGTCCAGAATGTAACACCAGGTCTGACATCCTGCAGAGATCATGCTTCAGTGACAGTTGAGGGAAAGTGAACAAAGACGTGCAGGGGGAGGGGAGGCCAGTGAGAGAAGTAAACCAGGTTCAAGTCTCACCTGAACAGACTGGCAAACATGAGCCACAAAAAGAGAAAGAGAAGGATTTGGGCACAAGAGCCAGATGAGCTTGGGAAGACCACTAGGGGGCGGGATTCTGGCTAGGCCAGCAGCACTGAGATCAGAGGTGCTGGAGAAGGAAAGCGGAGAGGATTGGGTTTGATGGCTCAGAGGCAACCGCAGGAGACAGAAGGCGAAGACTGAGCTCATCAAGGTGGCCTGGGAAGAACATGGCTCTGGAGGTCATGTTTTGGAAGGAGCACGGGGGCCCCAGGAGAGCAGGTATTGTCTGGTGCCGGACGTGGACAAGAAGGCACGGAGGTCACAGACTTGGAAAGAGAAACTCAATTTTGTGTAAGATACCATTCTCGGTATCGTGGGGAGAACGGAAGTAGTAAAAGGCAGGGAACTTAAAAGAGAAGTAAACTAAAGCTGCAGGGACAGGGGCACCTGGGTGGCTCAGTTAAGAGCCTGACTCTTGATTTTGGCTCAGGTCATAATCTCAAGGTCATGAGATGGAGCCTCACATTGGGCTCCATACTCAGTGTGGAGTCTGCCTGAGATTCTCTCTCTCCTTCTCCCTCTGCCCCTACCCCTGCTCACCCACGCACACTCTCTCTAAATAAGTCTTAAAAAAAAAAAAAAAGTGTAACAGAACAGCAATGCCAATGATAAATCAAGGTAGCACCTTAATAATTGCTAAATGGGCGAGATACACAGATGAGCTCCACTTAGTCCTAAAAAAGCTGCCCTTGGTGAAGGTCACGATCTGGGAAGTTATGAAAGAGGAATTTTGCTGAAAACCTGGTAAATGATTAACCACATGTAACAAAGGAGAGGAAGGGGCTGAGAGATGACACCAGCCCTGTCTGGCTGGGCGCTGCAGGCCCACTGGGAATCTACACCAGGCTAGGCTAATCTCAGTCATTCCATTCCCCTCTGCAAGTGACAAGGTTGGCCATGGGAAGGTGTGAGGACTGCAGCCCAAGAGACTCCACGTCAAGCAAGCTCAGGGCTCCTGGGGAGCTTTGCGCACACACAAGAGACACCAGGCAGAAACGTCCCCCTTGTTGCAGACAACCAATCCCTGGGAATCCATACCTATCTTGAGATAATAAAGCAAAAGCCAAGAAAATCAGAGAAGGCCTAGCAGGAGTGGCTGAATTCACAGACCTGAAACCGCTCTGCCCTGTGTTATCAGAGTTAGAACAACTTCGGTTGGGTTTTCTGTTGTCAGCAACCAGAATCTTCCTAGTACAGAGTTTAGCACACGTATTCATCTCCCTCACATCACTGGCACCCAGGGGGCATTCAACAAGGATGCAGTGAATGAGTAACATAAACTAAGAAAAAACTGCAGGAAGAGATTTAGATAACTTTTTTTTTTTAAGATTTATTTATTTGATAGAGACAGAGAGAGAGAGAGAGAGAAAGAACAAGCAGGGGAGAGGGGTAGAGGGAGAAGCAGGCTCCCCACCAAGCAGGGAGCCAGATGCAGGACCTGATCCCAGGACCCTGGGATCATGACCTGAGCTGAAGGCAGATGCTTAATCGACTGAGCCACCCAGGTACTCCAATTCTTGATATTTAAAAAAGTACATACATCTAGCCAGTTGTTGTTGATTCAATTATGGTAAAACAAACAGAACTTAAAGGGCTAAATTCTCTAGTTAAAAAACATGTGAAGCAGAAATAAGGTTACGTGTTTCCCAAACCCACTTCTTTATCCTCCAGCACAAGGAAGTGGAAAACGTGTCAACCTCTCTGAAAGCAGTCAGTGGATAACAGGGACTGAACGTGGCCCGTTTGAACAGAAGGGCAGTTGAACTACGGAGCATGAGATATAGGCTACTTCTACGTCTGGTGGGTGAAAAACTGCCTTCTTCATGGTAATCTGGGCTCGAAATCCAAGCCTGCCATCTGGGCGCCCTCTGGGCTGGCACAGCTCTATAAACAAAATGACATGTGGAATAAAGTCAAGTCTCTCGCCTTCCCTGTGGGGCTGCAAAATAAGCAAAAAGTAAAGCATTCCTGTGTTATGCCCCTGAGATTTTGGGGGGTTGTTTGTTACAGCAATTAGCCTACCTTAATAAATAGAACATGGCAAAGACACAATCGCAGAGCATATACTGTTCAAACTCCAAACCAGCAAGACTTGGTCAAGGAGAAGAAAATCTGGGACTCTCACTGCCATGAGCCGGCCATGGATATCGATCTACAGTGATCTGCAGCCATTTTTTCTCACTGTATCTATCATACTGTCTTCAAGCATCTTTTTTTTTTTTTTGAAGATTTTATTTATTTGACAGAGAAAGAGAGCATAAGCAGGGGGAGTGGCAGAGGGAGCAGGAGAAGCAGACTCTCCGCTGAGCATCAGGGAGCCCCACCCCGCATCATGAGATCATGACCTGAGCCGAAGGCAGACACTTAACTTAGCGAGCCACCCAGGCACCCCTATTTAATGCTTGTTTTTAAAAATTTCTAGAACTCAAAAATAGAATTGGTTTGCTGTTTACTATGAGATTATGGGTTACTTTTGACATGCTGTTATAGTTTATCTTTGATTTTTAAACCAACAAAGGAGGTACCAAGCTCAAATCCATTATCAACTTAAATTGATATTTCACTGTATTATATTTGGCTATTCAGTTGATTCCTGTCTTCATTGTTGGTTACTTTTTTTTAAAGATTTTATTTATTTATTTGAGAGAGAGAGAGAGAGAGTTAGTGAGAGAGAGAAGGGGGAGAGGGAGAAGCAGACTCCCTGCTGAGCAGGGAGCCCAATGCGGGGCTCGATCCCTGGGATCATGACCTGAAACAAAGGTGGACGCTTAACCGACTGAGCCACACAGGGGCCCCAAGCACAGTGTTTAAGTACATCTTTTTTGGATACAGAATTAAAACTTGAAACAAAAACAAAAACACAGACACTCTGCAACAATTCTCAAACTTGGCTGCACATTAGAATCACCTAATATGTTTCTAATCTGAACCTATAGGGGTAGAACTTCCTCGTCAGTATTTTTAAAAATTGTCCAGAGGATTCTACTATGAAGCCAGGTTTGGGAAGCACTACTCCTGAAAGCAGTTTCCACACAATTCAGATAGGACGGCTCCAGGGGGTAAGAAGTGGTGACTATCATGGGGCCGTGGAACTATTACATGAACAAGGCAAAGGCTAAAGATAATTAAATAACTCACACATTGTTAAAACCCAGAAATATGCCGGATGTCAAGGTAGCAGGACTCTGCAGGCCATACACTTCCACGTAACCCTCCTCTTCCTCCCTTCCCCCTCCTCCTCCTACTCCTGCCTGCGACTTTAATGTTCCCCATGAAAACAATTTACTGAAGGTCAAACCAATGTAATCTTCGAAGCAATGGAGAAAGAGCATCTCTGCAGATACCCCTTCCCTCCTTAAACATCTGTGAGCCTACTATGTGTCAGGCTGCACTAAGGGCTGTTAAAGCATTGATGTATAAAATGGGACGGTCAGTCTGTCTATGATCTAGAAGCACAAAGATCTCAAACAAAGAGTCACAGGTACCCTAGGGGATAAGAGAACTCATGATTTAGATGGAGGGTAAAGGTTCAGTAAAGACCTTTTTGTGGGGAGGGGATAAGAGGGGCTGACATTTAGACCAAAGCGTGAAAACATGCACAGGAGTTAACTGGGTGAAAACTGAAGGGAGAGGGGGTAGAGTCAGCAGGGGGACACTGCTCCATGCCTTGGAGGAAGGAAAAGCAGCTTGCATGGCTGAAGTCCGGGGAAATGCAGGGATGATGCTGGGGTCCCAGTGAGAGGCCACTAGTTCTCTAGTTAAGTATGGGACTAGTTCTTTCATTTATTTATAAGATTTATTATTCACTTGAGAGAGAAAGAGAGTGTGCATGCAAGAGAACACGTGCATGAGTGGAAGGGGCAGAGGGAGAAGAGGCGAGAATCCCAAGCCAACTTCACGCTGAGCGCAGGGCTCTATCTCACAAGCCTGAGATCATGACCCTGAGATCATGACTGACTGAACCACCCAGGCGCTCAGGAACTAGTTAAATAGGGGAGTGGGGTGGCGAGGAAGATCATGAGTCACAACCCCTGACATTTTC